AAAAAAAAAACATGACAGTCCAAAAACATGACAGTTTTTGGACTGTGGGAGGAAGCAGGAGTACCAGGAGAGAAACCATGCATGCTCAGGCAGAACATGCAAACTCCATGTTGAAAGACCCCGGCTTGGAATGGAACCAACAACCTTCTTGTTGCAAGGCAGCAGTGCTACCCGTACCTTTACATCAGAGACCGAAAAAGTTAATCCTCTGTGGTGTTCTCCAGGGGTCCATCTTAGGGCCCCTTCTATTCAGTATCTTAATAAGAGATCTTAATAAACAGCATAAGCTCCCATTACTCTGCAGAAGAAACACAGATGGTTATGCATTTAAGGAACCAATGCATGAATGTGCCAAAATATCAAAAATAAAGCCTGAATCATAACATAATAATCATTTCTGGACAAAGAGAGAGCCTTTAAAGTTTGCAGACAGCTTCAGTTGATACAGGTAGGAACCACCAAACAGGCTTCAAACCTGGGTGGTGTTATGGACTCACATGTGAACCTTCAAAAAAATCATAAAGACGGGAACAATGTTGGCTCTCTGTCCCCTAAAGAACATCTCCAGGATTAAAGGACTAATGTCTCAACAGGACCTTCAAAGCTGATTCATTGTTAGTAGAATTGTCCAATGTCCAGGTGTGTCCACAGGTCTGCCTAAAAGGAGGAAAGTTGAGAACATCAGTCCATTTCTTAAGTCCTTCTACTGGTGTAAGTCAGTCTGGCTGGCCAGGATGAAAAGACGTTACATGTTCTCTTTAGATGTGAAATGTAAATATGCAATGGGGCGGGTCGTATTTAAAGCAGTCCTTTTTTAATGTCTTTGCTCACATCAGTTTGTCTTCCTGGTTTTTCTTGAGATGTTGGACAAGGCAATGCCGTTAGAAAGTGGCAGCTGCTTCCTGCTTTTGCCACGCTCCCAGCTGTTGTTCTCTATCACCATGGAAACAAAACTATGAAGTCACCTCTCTGGCTTGCTTTGTTGCACATTTTATTTCTGGGGTGGCCCTATTGGGTCATCCTGCCAGCACCTAGTGCAGCTTCCAAGTTAACCTTTGTCCAAGGTTTAGCATTAGCATTGGGCACGTTACTTTAAAAAAGTAACTAGTTATTTTTACAAGGCATTTCTCCCAAAATGTACTGAGTGAGTTGCTCAGTCACTGCGCTGCTAATCTAAGTAAATACCTTAGTTATTAGGAACAGTGACTATTTGGGAGAGGATTTTCTTAACTTCAAATACGGCTTTGTTTAATTATACTTCTTGCCAACCGGTTACTCATGCTAATGCTAACCTTTGGCTAAAGGTCTGATTATCCTCCAGCAGCAGATATTGTTGATTTCT